AGTAGCACGCCCATAGGATATATATTTCTCTTTACCATCGATCTTTGCTTGGGTATTTTCCAAAGACGGCATCTACCGAACAATATGCCATAAGATATCCAGAAAGCCCCCTCTAACTGTGACTGGTCTCAACTATTTATGATATGATACAAATGCAAATTTCATTTTTATTTTCGAAACTTGTGAGCGAGAGTATATACTATATTTTATCTATGTTCTCGAAACCTTCATGAAGTAGAACGCAATCTCTTTCGAGTCAGTGTTCGAGTTTTATCTAAGCAGCTATTCATGTATATTTGTTTTGCTTTATTCGAAAGAAGCAAGGGATTTCATAGAAGCGGATATAAATGTATTTTATTTTAAATTTTAAATCAAGGAGATAATGGATTGCTGAAAAGTGTTTCAGAAATTTAATATGCCTACATTTTTCTATAGATATCGAAGATTCTTTGAGAAATTAAATCTGATTCTTTAAAAAAAATCATGCAATTTCAAATCTTTGTGGCATAAAGTTTCTGAAAACAAATTAGTTCGCAAGGATTTCTTTTAAATGTTTGAAATTCTTAAAATAATAATTATATCTTCATAAATATGCATATTTTATCTTCAACTCTTTCAAATACGGAACTTCATTAGTCAGTCTGAAATTCAGTAGTTAATTAATTCTATTCAATTTTTTAAGGAGAGAAGTAAAAATACATATACTAAAAATAAGAATCGTGTTTTCCTTTCACGCAATTTAGCAACTTTAAAACTACGTATTAAATTTAAATATTTAAAGTGAACAAAATAAATTTTGAAATTTTTTTAATTTCTAAATTTACTGTTTGTGAAACTATAAAAAAATATTTTCTTAAATGAATTAGAATTTCAACAAGATTTTTTATTTTAAAATTAACTATTTGAGACTTATTTTTTTTAACGAATTAAGAAATCATGACTCTTGCACGTAGATCTCTCTACTTACTCTCGTCGTAAAATTTGCAATTTTTCTTTTAAATTTCAAAATTCAAAATTATATAACATCCTTGTTAAAATGTTCTGAAAGAGCAATTATTCAAAGTTCAACAAATTGAAAATTGATTAAATAGTCTCCAAAAACGGCTGCATTATATTTTGTGACTTTTATATAAGCTAGTCTAATAAAATTAACCCTCATCAGATGTGTGAAAAAAAATTAGGTAAATAGAATGTCAGAGTACATTTAACTGAAGTATTACAATGTGAATCTATTGGAGGGGTGGTGGCTCAGGGGATTGAGCGATCACCTCCGAATCCCAGCTGTTGCTTGTTGATACGAATTTTGCTCCCGGCTTGCAAAATATCATAAACTGCAGACGAATCATGTGATAAAATCACCTTGCCATCGAGCGGACCATTCGAGGTTTTTGTGGTTTTCTTCTCTATGTAACGCACATGTTGGTTAGTTCCATCATGAAATCCTCCACGAAGTCTAATTTCTCCCAAAACTTGATCCATGAGATCCCTTGTTTTCAGGATTGGTTTCAAAATTACAAGGCTACGTAGTTGAACATTGTTAGTCGTAAACTCAGAATTGCGTAGGCAGTATAACTCCGGTATTAAAATAAAATAAAAAATTATAAAGTAAAATAAAAAATTATAAAGTAAAATAAAAAATTATGAAGTAAAATAACTATTCCCAGCATGGTCTCAATTCATTGTATAATAACACTCTGAGAGAACAGATTTCCATATAACACTCATTTCGAGCCGAAATTACAACATATATTAAAAAATGTGTATTTTTATAAGTATGTGCAACGTTCTACGTTTAAATAAAGAGCTTCTTACCTATAAACAATTTTGTATAGTATCAATGACACATTAAATCCCACAATTTCGGACGAATAAAATTGTGGATTTTCATATTTGTTGTCGTTACTTATTAATACTGCTCCCATATTACAAAATATATTTTACTCATTTGATTGGACAACAATTGACTAGGGCGAGACTATAGAAAAGTTTATATAGGAAGACAATAGCAAACAGGCAATATCTAAGGCTTTAATTCTAGATATTTCATTCAAAAATATACGAGTGCTTGAAATATAAACTATTCTGATCTACTTATTTTACGTCAGAAATGTAATTTATTTTCCGGTGGATTTATTAGACAGAAAAGAATACAATACAGTTCGAGGACAAAGTTTATATGTTGTTTAAGCTGCTATTACTATAGATTTTTGTGTTTTGGATTTCAGTCATTCATTTAACTATTTTTTTGTAAAATTGTAAAATATATACTTCAACTTAAGAATTATTTAATTAATTTCGAGTTTTGTAGAGAATGAGTATTTTGAGAACTCATTAAAAAAAGAAAGGAAATAGTTTTGAAATTATTGATGCTATTTTTAAAAGTGTAGCTACATTAATGCGATAGTTGCGATAGCCTGGAATTTATTCTAAAGGGTTGTCCAAAGTTGATGCAAGCTTATATATGACAGTTTTCAAATATAACAATTTCGACTAGAAGATAGATTATGGAGAATATCACCCACTCCCCTCACCTCCTTCTCCAACCACTCAACAATACATGGACTTTTTAGACTCCAAAACCGCTGGTGGATTTCATATCATGAGACATATTTAATGAACTGAAAATCTTACACATAATAGTTGATTTTGGAATTGATTTTGCATATGCTGCTGTTGAAGAAATGAAGATATAAGATCGGGAGTGATAGCTCAAATGTCAGTTGTACTAACTAACAGGTTTAATATTTCTTGCGTTTTTTAATTAGATGCATCTTCATCAAACATTAAGTTGTAACACGTGTTTAGATTTTGAATCCAACAATCGCAAACAATCGCATAAAAATCCAACAATCGCAAGCCTGATCATAAGCATTACAGAGCAAAAGCGTTGAATCGACATAGGCTTAAAAGTTGCATGCTACGTTTCAAAACGTTGGCCATTAAATCCTTATGACTATAAAGATTTTAATTTTTCATAATTCAACTATCTTTGGGATTTTCGATGAGGATAACAATTACTACGCCATAAATAGGCTTAAAAGTTAAATGTTACATTTTAGAACGTTGGCCATTAAATCCTTATAACTATAAAGATTTTGATTTTTCATAATTCAACTCTCTTTGGGATTTTCGATGAGAGTAACAATTACTACTCCATAAATGCCCATATTTAAGTTCACTAAAAATAAGTTGAAGTCCTTTGACTATTTGATAGGCAACTCATATTTTAACACTTTGATGCAGATTTTTTATTAAGCTTAATTTTCATGCCTTTTATCATATTTTATATTAATTTAGGTTAAAATAAGTGAAGAAATTAAATTTAGCATTTTAATAATTTATGATTATAAGCCATAAAATTTGAATTATTTCCGGCTATTATACAGAATGAAACACCGGTGTCTTTTTCTGGGTTAAAATCTTAAACTATAAATCTTACAAACACGGCTCACTTCCAAATAATAATTTTTCAAACGTGCTCATATTTGCAGTAATTTATGTATAAGAGAAATAGTTATTCATCGGTGAAATTTGCTTAATTTTCGAAATCAATTATTAATGAATTAATAAACATGAATAGAAAAAAGCTTTTTTGAGCTACTTTTTTTCAAATTTTGCATTTTTGTACAAATCTAATTCCGACGATCGAAAAATATTTTTAGCAACTGTTGGACTGTTTTTTATAATTAAAAAATACCAAAATATATTTTTGCTTGTAATTAGAGTGTCAGAAAAAAAATAAATAAAAGAGACACCGGTATCCCATCTACGCGAGAGGGTTAAAAGATTCCTTAAAAAAAAACTTTTGACCATTAACTTAAAATCGCTTGTGTTTGGCTATTTTAGATTTTAATACTCTTTACGAATAAATAAAACCCATTTGATTATTCAAGCAACAAACAGTAATTACATTAGAGAATAAACTTCACGCTATTTTACCGAATAGTCTTGTAAACCTTTTTAAGCTCTGAAATCTGAATACATTCCATGAATTGAATGAAGCTATTTTATTCTGAAAATCTTTATATTGCTAAAAAGAATTTATTATTAAAAATAAGAGAATCTAATATGTAAATAAGTATAAAAAATACCAATAACATCTATGCGTAGTCACATATTTTGGATTACATAGGTGAAAATACATTTCCAAGATTTTGACAAGAATAAATACAAATTTTTTCTTTGAAGCAAGACTTAGTATTTCTATTGTTCCGGAAAGAAAGTTGAAATATTGCGGAAAGTTCAACCTTTGGCTCAGGTTTAAAAAATACTGCTTCCATTTCTTTGACCAACATGAATACGGTTTTTGCATGGCAATTCTTTATATCCATACATAAAAAATTCATAGATTTTACGATGAAATATATGTAGGTCCTTAAATATGATAATTCAGATTTCAATGCATTTTAAACTGTTACATATATTCCCCAAAATACAACACAACTAATGTAGCGAAAAGTTTGAAATTCTAATTAATAATGATACGTAATATTTGTTGTATAAATTATTGTTTTTTTCTTCTTTTTTCTTCTTCTTTTTCTTGTAATAGACATAAAAGTAGGTGTACGCATAATAAACTTGTCTAACTTTTCATGTACCTAAAACAAACCAATTAACAAACAAAATTACAAAAAAAACTGGAAATCTTCTAGTTTTCCTGTGGGCTTAACATAATTAAAATTTATTATCATTAAAATTATAGAATTATAATTAAAATTTTTAGAATAATAATTAATTATTAGAACTATAATTAAAATTTATTATTATTCTAATCACTTATCAACAATAGAAATTTATCAAAAATATGCAGTTAATGAAATGAGATAGATTGGTTTTTTGATATTAAACATTCACTCCGGGCATAACAATCAGTAATGCAAGTTCATCTAATATTAACCGATGACTTTACAAAATTCCCTTAAATGTTTATTATTATTTGTAGTTCAATAAACTCCATTCAATTTTCAGAATCTAATTATTATTTGGTTATTTTATTTCAGAATTACTCTGAAGATGCATTGCCCTATGAATTTTAAATACTTTCCATTTGATCGTCAAATATGCTCTTCTGAACTAGAAAGTTGTAAGTAATAACAAAGTTCTTTGGAATTCGATTATAAAAATATCAGTTTATTTCAATATGAATGTAGATAGTAGGTATGCATTACCCTATGAATTACAAATACTTTCTATTTGATAGTCAAATATGCTCATTTGAATTAGAAAGTTGTAAATAATAACAAAGTTCTTTGAAATTTGATTATCAAAATAATGGTTAATGACGGTAAATGAATATATCTGGCATGGAAAGTACATGAACTGAGTCTCGGAATTCGAATTAATATGTTTTAGATTAAGAATAAATATTTGTAAGGTAACAACTTCAAACTAACACATTACTTACAATACTTAATAAGCGTGATTTCAATCATCTATTATAGGCATAATGCACCTTGAAAACAGGTAAGGAAACGCCAGTAATTTTTACTAACCCCTTAACTCAGATTTTTTGAAAAAAAACCGGCCAAAAAGAAGCAATTTCTTTTAATGAATAAAAAACACACTTTAAAACAAGGTTTCCATTTATTGCTACTTCTGGTTCAACTTTTCTTTTGTTGACAAACAACAACAATTTTGATATACTGCGCTTTTGTTCCATGGAATAAAGCTATATTTTATTCCTGGATAAATAAGTGTTATAGTTTACAATCCTATGTAAATGATAATTATCAATAAAACGCTTTTTTTTCATAGCTTTCACATTGTTATTTTCAATTCTCAATTATATTCGAGTGTGAAAAATTATAGCAGCATAAAATGCAACGCCGCTCGAATTATCTCGAGTGTGCAGTTTGGCCTGTTTAGCGTGCTCGAATTAACTCGAGCGCACAAGTTAAGGGATTCAGCTTTTGAGTTTTTTAACAACCAATACTCTAAAAATAAAAATAAAAGTAATAATCTAATTTTATGTTCTATTATTAATAAAACTGCTGAATTTGTTATTTTCATAAACTACGTGCTAAAAAAATTAAATTTGAATGAAATTATGAATTTAAAAGTAATAGTTTACAAACCAAATTACAAAAACACTAGAAATCTTCTAGTTTTCCTGTGGGCTTAACATAAAAGCGAAAAGAAAAAGAGAAGATGGGCACATCAGTATCTGGAAGAATTTTTTTTTTTAAATGCAATATGTTACGTGTCTTTTTTTTTTCGTTAAAAATATCACCTAATGACTAGGACTCCACTTGTATCCATTTTTAGAAAACATTTAATTCAGTATATTTATCAGTATATTATTAAACAGTATATTTATCTCTTCTTTAGTTATTTCACGTTACGCTTTCTTTTTACCTTTCTGTTGCGAAAACTAAATCTAATATATCCTCCCCTAAGTCTGAAATTATTGGATTATGCTATTTTAAAATTTATATGATTTTTACTATTTTATTCTTTAGATTACTATTTTATTTTGTTATTTTATTCTTGAATGGATTTACAGGGGTTGATCAAAATATTGTGAATCATGATATGCCAGTTTTTTAAGTAGGATAGTGTGTTATTACTTTTTATTATTTTTTTCCAAAAGTAATTCAAACAACATTTATTCAATTCAAAGTAATTTAAATTTTTTTAAAAATATTTTATACATTTTTCTATAAATAAAATTTTTTGTGATCGGATTCTCTCACACATTTAAAATAATTAACTTCAGGAAAATAAGTACAAGGTACTACATGGTGCTGCCCCTTGTTTAACTTCATGCTAATTTTTAGATAACTCTCATTTTAAGTTATTTTCCTTAAAACTTGTTACTGATTTAATTTAGATATCCATGCAAATGAAACTTATTAATTATGTAGCCTGTATAAGTTAAAATAAATAAAGTTAATTATAAATGATATGCTACGAATATTTTAGGGGAACTTTTCAAAAATATATAATTCTACTAATATCGTATTAATTATATATTGCGGGGGCATAGTCCGCAGGAAAATATATTTGTGCTTAATGAAATAGTTACATCTACCCTAGATCTGTCTAACATAGACTACTCCTAGGTACAACAATCACGCTAGGCTTAACAAAATTAAATTTTTTTTCATAAAAATTTAGTACTTTACTAAAAGGGGAAAATATATTGATAATAATCTATCATAGTTCAAGTTTTAAATGCATGTAAGACATATTTTTTCACAATCAAACTGATTAAAAGGGTTACTTAGCAACTTGAAAAAAATTTATACTTTAGAGCAAGATTGAAAAGTTTTAAATGGTCAACAATAAAGCTGTCATTACCTGTTATGACTGGTATCAATTACATATATTGGATGCTAAATTACTTCACTGACTGGCATAAATATTTATACGGATTCCAGTCACCACTTTTTCCCTTTGTGTAGCAGCTTTAGAGACTTATAGTAGGAAATATTTTAACATATTTGTCCCTTTAAAATCTTTCAAACTTCTAAAATTTGTCATATTTGTATCCTTGAAAATATGTTATTCTAATTATGTGATCAAAAACTTCATTGGCGTCAAAAATATATAAATTTGAAATAAAAGTTGACATTTTCAAGCTCTCAAAAACAAGCGCCTATTTGCAAGACTTGCCAGACGTGAATGAGAATAAGCGAAAGTGATTTGAAATATAAAACGTTAAGTTGTGATCCAAAAATAGAAAAATAAAGGTGAGAAACAGAACAAGAAACACCGCAGTAGCCAAGAGAAAAAAAAAGGAAAAGCAGAACAAGAAAAACCTCTGGGGTACTAATGTAGTCTTTGCCCCCTTCGGCCACTGAGGTCTTTTTTGTTCCGTTTTTCATCTTTTTCTCTCACGGTTACTGTGGTTTTTCAAGTTCTGTTTCTCACCTTCATTTTTTAATTTTTCGTTGTCAACTTCACGTTTTATACTTCAAATCTCTTTTATTTCTTTTTATTCACACCTGGCAAGTCATGAAAATGGGTGCCTCTTCTTGAGTGCTTGAAAAATGTCGACTGTTATTTCCAATTTGCATGTTTTTGAAACGAATGATGTTTTTAATCAAGTAATATCTTACTGCTTCAGTTTCTTGAGATTATTTACTTATTGTTCTCAAATTATTTAAAGAAAGAATTTTACAGCTTAAGTGTTTTCTTCTAATAAAACTCAAGCCTTAAAACTTATTAATTTATCAGTACAAACTTTATTTGCTACTAATAAATTATAATAATTAAGGGCTAAGTTTTGAATATGAGATAAAACTTTTTTAAACCCTGATACTGATAACTTTTAAATCATTCCTTGAAAGTAAAGTATTTTTCTATATAAGTTGAAAAAAAAAGAAAAAATTGTCATGTATTGTTTCCCTAACTTACTGATGCATATACACAAATTATTTTATAAATATGAGGCCCTTTTAAAAATATATTTAAGTAAAATTTTCAACAAAATGGAAAAAAAATACACTTAGCTTATTTTCTTTTGAGCTTACGCTACTTTATTTTTGAGGAAAAAAATTGATTATATTATATTTCTCACACACTTTCCTCAAACCACAATAAATTTTAATGTGAAATCCTCTATCAAACTTTCAGTCATGTTTTGTTAGTTTCTTACGACACAAAGTTTGCTGCCAAACATTGATGTTAAAAAAACAAGCCCGCAGGGCTTACTTTTAAGATTTCAATTTTTATATCCCACTACTTCAATATTGGAGAAAAGGATATGGCTTGACGGCATCTGACGAGTTTACTTTGATGTAGAGCTCTTGATAAAATGTATATCAATCTAAAATCCACTTATTTTTCACGTCCAGGTGAACTATATTACTTTTTTTTTCAGCCACATGTGGTAAATACACTTTAGTCTGTAATAATGATAAGATAAATACACAAAAAGATTTTCTCTTTCACTTTAAAACTTTATTTAGAATAAAGGTTTTATATAAAATTGTAGAGCTAATAAGTAAACATCTTTGAAACATATTTTGAAGAATATTTGCTAAAATCTATTGTTTTGAAAATATCTGAAAGTTAGTAAATTTGTGGTTTGAAGTAAGTTATTTGTCTCAGAAAATAAAATATAAAGTTTATGCGATGCATTTATCAATCATTCTCAGTTATTTATGCAAATCTCAAGCATAACCTAATAATGTAAGATTTTCTTTAGACATCTTTTTCAGTATATCTACATTAATGGGTATGAAATTCTGGTACATGGATTCTGGAAAAAATTCAAAGTTTTAAAGAGTGTACGTTTTTTTATCTCTTATTTAACATTACAGATTTCTAAAACTTATAAAATTAAATAAAAACATATGCAATCAGAGTCTGTTATTAAAATATTTATACTATTATTACGCTGATGCTCCAAATTAAGAGAATTTCTTGTTTTGGTCGATTTTGTGAAATTTTAAATCCTTCTATATGTACTAAGAACCGTAATGGCTCAGCGGTTAAGGCCCTCAAATGTCCTTAAGAAGAAGAACTGGGGTTCGATCCCCAGTGGCGGTTTGAATCTTACCCAGCTTTAGATTGATGAGTGCCAGCTTGTCTGAGAAGTAAAGGCGGCCTGTTCATAGTGCTGGCCACTATGCCACAATCATGCCATTGGTCATGAAGTTGTGGAACTTTAACATCCTCCCCCCCCCTTGAACCACAGTAGACTCAAGGTGGGAATGCTTTATTTTATATGTGTGGATGTGTATCTTAATATTTAGTACATATGTAAGGTATTATGTATACACAAGGTGCATTTAGTACAGATATAAAATTTCGCGCATTTCACCTTCCTCGCAGCAGAATTCACCTTTAAGGAACATTTTATAAAAAATTATTACAGATATAAGCTTGAAGTTTTTTTATTGCTATTAATGTATTCTTTGTATATCAGTATATCCTTTTTTCAGAAGTTTTCATTAGGATTTTTATCTTAACAATTTTAGTCATCATCAGTTATTAGTTTAGTCACATTCAGTTATCACAATTTTTTTGATAATAATTTTGAATATATATTTAGATAAAAGATGGAAGGGTATTTTTTGTGTTTAACCTATGATAAACTAGATAAATTAGTGAATGTTTTTTTTGTGTTGAATTTTA